CTTCTTTGCGGAGGACGGGCTGTTTCGACCTGTGACGTCTTGCTAAACCAGCCAAGTCCCCTCATCGCATGATGAGTCAGCGAAAGCTTGCGCCTTATCCAATGCAATTAACTTCCCCCAACAACGTGTTGCTTCGGCAAGCGCGCTTTACCAAACATTGCATAGATGGAACGTCTTTGCCCGCGCTGCTTTTGAGCCGCAATTTTGCCTGCGCCTGAAGATGTTCTGAGCGAGCGAGTGCATTCAAATGGCCTGTATGTTTGTTTGTTCGCTCTCTTGGAGGCAGAACGTTGCAAACGCCAGCACTAGCTCGAGAAATCAAAGAATCATGGGCATGCCCCTTGCAGAAAGGGGCCACCTTTCTACAGTCATTGTGTGTGTGTGTCTGTGTGCGTGTCTCTGTGTGTGTGTGTGTGTCGCTGTGTGTCGCTGTTTGTCGCTGTACTGCCACAATGTTGCTTCGTCACAATTTTGCTTCGCCAATTTGCCACGACACCCAGATCCTAGGGACATGTGTCAGTTTCAATTTGAGCCCCATGCAAATCAACAGACTACACACAAAAGGACTTCTCGAAACAAAATCGGTGTTGTTGGGCTCCATGTAAGTCAAGCAGCGGCTGCCAAAAGAGGCTATGATTCCAGCTTTCACATTTTGATGTTTTTTATTAGTTGCATGTTAATCCGCACGGGATTGTCACTGCAGAGGCTGAGGAACCCGAAGGAACTGCCCCTTGTTCAGTGGCCACTTGTTCTGAAGCTTAAGACATGGTGCACGTTTTCAAACCATCGGGCTAGTAATCGCAACTGGGCCAGGGAACAGCCAGGAACGCTTACGGTATCGCCAGGTCTTCATCCGGTTTATGGCCTTTGCGCAGAAGAGTCGGTGTTTGCGGGACCGGTGGTTCGTGTTCGACTCCCTCCTTGTGCTCACTATGGTACTGGCCACTTGGCAAGGTGAACGGGGTGTTCGATTCCGGTGAGCTGCCACTTTGGGCTCCCCTGTGTGGAGGCAGGTCCGACTGCACAATTTCAGCGTACCCGAGAACCTTCCCCTCATCACTTGTCTGGATGGGGTCGATGTCTAAGGAGACCTGGATCGCGCCCATCATCATCCTTGGCTTCAACATCGACTTGGCCAACGCCTTGGACCTATCCACCCTCCGGATGTTTCGCATGGTGAAGCCGCTTGCCTCCAGTCTCTTTCGATTGCCTTTGGTTGCGCCGCCCTTACAGTGGCCACCAGGAACTTGAAGAAACCATGTGGGCAGAAGCATGTAAAGAAGCCTGACACCACTTCAACGAGACCTGTTCTTCTCGTCAAGTTTGTCCTGTTTGGCATGACGGCCAATTTGAGGTGACGGACTCTGTCAGGTCAAACGCGTGCTTTCATCGCGAACAGCTTGCCTGTTGAACTTCCAAGTTTCGATGGGATCCCGCCGGACCCATCACAAGCTCAAGAAGTTGATTAAATTAACAGCCGCCAATCGAAACAAGGGATATCAACATATTCTTTACCTGCTTATTCAGTTGCCCAAAGTATCAGCAGATGTTCTGCTTTGCAGATAGGGCATTAATCATGTTGCCGCGTGCATTCAGAGATGCGGGTGCCTCTTCAGGGCTATAAAAGCACAGCCGGAGCTCGCGTTATGAGTTGGAATTGAACTAATTCCATGTTGAGCTTAATATAAGGTACCTACTCTTCATGAATCTTTGTGCCGATCCAGTTCTAAAGCACATTTTGCCAATTTGATGCCTCGTTTGAGTCTGCCAAGCAAGCGTCCACTTTTGAGATGCTGCAACTTGAAGTTAACAGGTGTCACCATGGTGCCACCATGCGTCAGAACAGCCAGGACCCTTCTTTTTCCGAATCCCACAATGAATTGGCACCCTCAAAAAGGCAGCCTAATATATGTATATATATATATATATATTATGTATACATATAGAGGGGCTCAACGACAAACCCAAGTCATGTCAGGCTGCTGCGCCTGTCCCGCATGGCCAAGCTTTTGCGCGCGGTGCCGGAGCTGACGATCATCATGAAGGCGCCAGTTGCCCTCAGGGCTTGGAAAAAGGGCGGTGCCTTTTGGCTTGGTTGCTGTTGGGTTGGATCTTTAAACTTTATTTTTTGGGAAATCAAAAGTGTTTTCCACTAAGACCCCAACAAGTGAACTTCTTGCAGGGGGTTAAGCAACCAAGTTGGCAGAATATCGCGTGGTCTCCAAAGGCAAGGCTCTCATCGCTGCAAATCGTCAGACTATGGGTTTAAACCAAGGCTTTTTCGTCAGCACTTGAAGGGTGGCTGTTTGATCGCTTGCAAGCCACGACACATGCAGAGACAACGCCCTGACCCACACACCTTCGCCCGGTGTATGTCCATGCTGCTTGTGAGATTGCAACCAAACCAACCAAAGCTCACTCTGTGTTTTCGGGCCCCCTTTCAAGTGCTCCGTTCTTCATGTGGGGCTGCAAAGAAGTCGCAACCTGCCGTGAGGGCATCAATCTGGCTACTCGCTCGGTGCTGGTCTTCTTCTTATTCTGGATGATCATCATCTACGTCTTCGCCCTCGTCCTTCGCCAGGTCACCGAGGGCAATTCCATTGGCACCACCTATTTCAGCACCGTGCCGGAATCCGCGACTCGGCAGGGAACCTTCCCAGTTTGTCAATGCGAGGCCAGTGGCTTGGAAGCGACGCTGTCTCCGGAGCTGTTTGAAAGCTTCCCCAAGAGCACGTCTCGATTTTCTTCATGGATTCGAGGCAGAGGCATCCCCTCGGACAGTAAATCGAATAAGCCAAGGCCTCAAAAGTGAGAATGTTGGACCCAAGTGCCTGACTTTCCCAGCGGTAGATACATAGGCTTTGCCGGAAAGGTGCTGGCAAAGCGCACATACATGTTGCCCAGGGTCTTTCCCGTGCCTAGCTTCCTTCAAGCAAAGGCAAGGTTGATTCGACTAGCCTGATGGTTGCAAGGGACCACAGAAGGAAGATATCAGAATCAAACAGCTTCACCAATTCCAAGATGGGTGTGTTCCAAAATCGGGGATTCCGCGTTTGGATGGCATTTGAGGGGGGCAAGAGCAAGCCAACCATTTTAGGTCCTCTAACTCACAACGCATCCACTCAAGGATTGTTCAAACATGGGATGCCTTTCTGTTTGATTCATATGTAACCCTCTTTAAGAGGGAAAGCTATGATCCAAAGCCTGCTCCACGCAAATTGGGCAAGGGCCTGGTCGGCCCCAGCTCCAGGTGAACAACCTGCTGCTTTACGGGATCTTGCCGGACCAGCGCGAGCTAATCACCGCCACTTTGCCCATGGGCGCCTGGATGTGGCCCCTCATCGTGACCTTCTTCCTCCTGGTCTCTATCACCATCATGTACATGCGCCCTGGCTTTCCTGAAGCTACTCACTTCAACAGGCGCCCACGTCGTGCCAGGTTCACCCAAGCTCAGTCGTCACTTGGAAATGAGGTGTTTGAATATTTGGGCAAGGGTCGATGCGTGGAGGCTGTTCGTGAAGATGTCGCATTCAACGGGGTTTGCGCCTTTGGCCGAGATCAGACAACCATAGCTGATGAAACGTCCGTAGCATGCAGCCACAGTTGAATTCGGGAATGGGTCAGCCACCAAAGTGGCATTCCTGGGTTCCATGTGGCATTTTAGGGACTTTTCTGGCAGAACACGCATTAGTCAGGTTGGTGGGCGTTCTCGTGGATGTGATGCGTGTCATCTCTGCGACCGAGAAGGAAGGCATCACAATCTCATATTTGGCGAATGAGTTCCGGGAGAAGATGGACCAGCTGCTTTGGATACAGCAGGGCTTGGGACTCTCCCCCACCCTGTTGCAGAAAGGGGCTTTGCTTTGGGGAACGTGGCGGGTGGGGGGGGGAGGGGTTGTTATGGAGAGGGGGCAGGGGCCAAGTTGACGTGCAGGGTTGGTATGTGTATCACCAGTGACTCAACCCTTGGCCCTTGACTTGGAGAGCCATTATGCCTTGTCAGATGTTGGCTGTCTCCAAGGGGCCTTTTGTCCGGCTTAACCAATAGGGCAGGTGACGGCATTCACTTCAACAAAAATACAGACACGCACATGCACATTGTTCATGCCTAACCTCTCTGGGGCTTGGAAGCTTGTTCAACCAAGCTGCGCACAACATCTCCACGCTTTTCTGAAAGCAAGGCTTGAAGGTTTGTGTCTTAAGTGGCCTTTTTCCTGGATTTTCACCGACCCACCAACTGCCAATTTCGCCGGTCGGTGAGTGATGCCTGTGACCCCAGGCTGCAGTACAATACGGAAATGCCCCTCTCCCAGTTTGAATTTCAGAAGCTGCTGCTGGAGCCGGACATTGCCTTGATTTTGGCCTCGGAAGGCAGGACTGATTGGTTTTTGGGCATGACACTTTCACCGTTGAGGCTAGCCTGTTTAAACTCAGAGGGCAATCAATTGGACGTCAGTTCACCCCCTTGTCTTAAGATGAGCCGAGTTATGATGTGCCTGCTTCGGGGTACATCTCCTGTGAGTCCTTGCATTACGTGGATTTAAATGGCAAGGTTAACCAAATTATTGTATGTTTGTTTGGGCATGTGCAATCTTGCTTTTGAATGGCCGACGACCTATGGGGCTTTTTTTGCGACATCTCCGTGTAGCACACATGCCAGGGTGCGACAGCTTTATGGCAAAGGAACCCCTGTATGACCCGATTGAGCAGCGCTTGCTGCAAGACCATGTTACATGTGTTTGTTGGTGCTACGTCCTGCGTGCATTGAGGGGACGCCATGGATTGCCATAGATGCCTCCGCCAATCAGCTGAGGGGCTGCTGCAGGAGTTTTATGTGAGTTCGTTTACGTGCAAGATGTAAGGGGCGCCCTCTCTAGGCAACCAATCTCCATCAGAGCATGATAGCCGCGTGCATGCGTGAGAGCCCCTTAGAGGCACCTCGCAGCATCCCAATCAGAGTAGAGCTGAACGTGAGCGTGTCCTATCTATACAATGTGGGGTCGACCAATGATGCAGTAGCTGCAAACCTTGAACAAGTCACGGGTGTCCATCTCCAAGGTAAACAAACCTGTCCTGAGCAGCTGATTGTGCATGAACGTAACTGGCACAGACAGACGCAAGATTGTTTACCACTTGCAGTGCGAAGGACATTATATGGCTCGCATCTCAACACACCATACCGAATACCCCCACTACTTGAGCTCGATGTTAGGGATCGATGTCATCGCCCTGGTGGACAGCTTGGATTTGCTCTATGAGGACATCGCGAAGAACGGCCGGGACGGCTTGGAGTTTTCTCAAGCCTTAGACCTGGTCCTCAACATGCGCGGTGGCAACCCAGCGCCTTTGCGCTTGCAATTTAAGAACAAATTCCGCTCAAGGCAACGGGGGCCAGGAGCTGTTCTGATGGAGGAAGCTTGAAAGACCATTTCAAAACGTTTGAAAGCAACGTCGCATATTTTGACAGCTGGAGAATCATCACACAGTTCAAATTTGGTGCCGCCCACAGAGACCACATCAATACAGAAGATTCCGTGGATTTGGATGGGGAGGTAGGACATTTCCGTGGGCACTTTTTCTGGATTTTTCCCGTTTCGAGCAACAAAGAACATGCTCAATTAGAAAATGGCGCTGGTGTGTGCCCGCAAATTTTCGCTAATTGTCCTCCGATTTCCTGTCATTTCCCGCCGATTTCCGCTCATTTTCCGGGAGAAAGCTTGCCAAATCATGCCAAATCAAGGTTTCCGCTTATTGTTTTTCCACTCAAAATCTGAAACGGGCAAACAACAATGCCCAGGGCCCTAAAAAGTGACCAAATGGAAGACCCAGGTTTAGCCGGGAAGACTCTCCAACGTGAATCCCCATGTATCTGGCCACAGACGGGTTCATGCCCAGTTAAGTTTCGTAGCCATTTCCCTTGACGATGCATGCGACTTGTTGCCGGGGTGGTTTTCAACGCGACATTGCGGAAAGGCCAACTCAAAATGTCGTCTTTAGGTGAAGGGGCGAAACGGAAGAGGGGCGCTTTTGGGGTTAAAAATGCATATTTGTTCACCGCACCTCCTTTGCCAACGGGCTGTCACATGGGGCCCTTCACACTGACAACAGGCAACCCAGTCCTTCTTGACATGTTTAGGTTGGAATTACAGTTTCTGGGTTCCACTCCTGCATCTAGACCCGTATGTATGCATACAAGATGGACACGTATGTGCGCACATAGGCTTGCAAGTGTATATGCGCATATGAATTTACAGAGGGAGAGAGTGAGACATATGAATTTACAGGAAATATAGGGGAACCCAGTCCCTCACCGAGAAGCCCAGGCCACGGTCAAGGATGTGAAGGAGCAGTTGAGGCTCACCAAGTCTTTGGTGAAGACCTCCCAGTGGGCCATCTTGGAATTTTGGCCAAAGATCCCACCCAAACCCGCCGTTTGTTAAGCCATTTAAGTCCTTAGCCCGCAGGGAGAGATTTTTGTTGCCATCTACTCATTTCGCAAATTGTTTGCTTTTACCCTACATCCGGGTGTTTGTTGTGGTTGGTTTTGGAAATGCTCGGGTGATCTTGGGACAATTCGAAGGGCATTTGTTTGCATGTTTAACGTTTGCATGCTGCGGTTAACGGGGCGTATCCAATGATTCCAAGCTAGACGTTTAAAGATGAAGCCTGATGTTTTGTCCTGTTCGCCTTGTCTCTGAAGAAAAGTGTTGGAGCTTGCCACTTTTGGTCGGCCCATGTTCGGAGAACTCACAGGTCCTGACGTGAGACAGGCACTTGGTGCCAATAGCTTGCTTTGCTTTTTTCGTCCCAACTGAATCTGGCAGAGCTGAGGACAAGATGAACGTGGAGTTTGCACATGTGCTTTCCCTGCTGAAAGAGTTGCGAGAGGAGGCGTTGAAACGTGACGGCCTGGATGGCGACCTTGAAGACGATGACTTCGACGCATCTCTGCAAATCACCCGTGAACTCCCAGCGATATTGACACGCTGACCTTCCGGCGATTTAATCATGGCTGGTCTTTAGCCAGTTGGCCACCATGCAGCGGTAACAGTCACTGGCCGACATTGAGGACCAGCCATCACTGGTTTTGGGAATTTCGCGGCCCATATATTTTTGCATGTGAACAGTGGGAGGGAGCCTGATTGGAATGCTCCGGGCATTTTTACTGTTTCCTCTTGATGCAATTGAAGAGGCATGCATAGTTAGTGAGCCCCTCAATGGGAGATTTTGCCCAGGATGGAGCAAGGGAACCCTCAAAGGGGATCCTCAAGGAGATTCTGATGGCCGCTGGGTGTGTCTGAGTTTCAGTGGTACTTGTTCGGGAGCACGTTCAGGATGTCAGATTGATTCAGATTGCCTAGGAATTGGCTTTAGCCCGTTGTCTTTCTGGCCGATTTTTCAAACAGTGAAGCTTAAGATGTATTAATGGCACTTGTTCACCCTTTGACTGAAGAACATGAGGTGCAGTAGTTGCTCTGTAACACAGTATTTCACCTAGCTGCATTGCTTTCACCACATGGCTCGCAAGACGCGATGCGCATGTGCTCCGACTTTTTGCGAAGAATCGACGGAAAAGAGCGGCTGGTTGAGCTGATTCATCCGCACATCGGATGCATGTTGAAATATTGCTCAGCTTTCTGTTCTGAGGGGAAAATCAGGGATTCATTCATTATGTTTGAGCCAAAATCACTGCTAACGGATCAACTGTGGCCAGATTGTTCACTGCTTGTGTTCCCCACATGTCCTCTTTTGATGGAGCTGAGCATTCATTTCTGGGCCAATGCAAGGGATTTCCCTTTTGGCTGGGATGGCAGTTTCCCAGACCTGTAAGTTTGCCATGAAACCGCTTTCCGACACATGTTTTCTCCCCCAAGCTTTCTCATTTAGCCATGGTTTCATGAGTGCCGAGCACGTCCAAGGCGCATGTCGCATCTTTCCCCCAACCAACTCCCCATTTCCCCATGCCGGCGCCTTCCAAAAAAAAGCAACACACAAGCGGGACCAGAGCGCTTTGAAGAAGCCGAGGCTTGGGCACCTCAGAGGACCAGCTGATCCGTGTGATCTGCCAGCTGAACTTTGGAGAGCGCCGGGAGGTGAAGGAGGCCGACTGGGGCCATCGGGTAGGGGCGCTAAACCGAAGCCCTAGAAATCTTAGGGGTGTTGGAGTACATGGCCTTTAACGAAGTGGCCATGTAAATACCGGTTTATGTACCTATTGTTTTTTTTGATTGCTGCAAGTTCGCCTTTGGACTTTAAACACGGACAAGCCAACCTTGCACCCATGATCCAGCAGAGGTCATTTGCACATGTAACGAGATCGACCCTTTGGCACGAACACTTGGTGGGAACGCTAGGGACGCTTGCGCTTGCGGAGATCGCATGTAGCTTCTTGAAGCAGTCTGGCAGCCAAGACTACTCAACCTCTTTCGAGGTGGCCGCATGGCCGTTGGTGTTAGCACAAGGTTTGTTTGCGGATCTTACACATTTGGGGCAGTTGGTCGTTGAAGACAAGTGGCTCCTTTCTAGAGCTGCCGACTGCAGTCTCAAAATCTTCCCTGCAATCTGCTTGAGATGTGTGTGTGTGTGTGTGCCTGCGGCTTGAGGTAGCGACAGGGTGCGCAGGTGTCATGACACAAGGTGAGACTGGCTCTGGGAAGGGTAGTGGTTGATGAGTCCAGCAGTTTCCTTCCCAGAAAGGGTCCGATCGAAATCCCATATGGTGCACTAGGGCTCAACCTTTTGACCGCCTTCCATGAGGGTTGATGCTTAGTTGTGGTCTTGGTTGACCATGGCTGGCCTTTCGTTTCAGATTTCCCAACCATGCGCAGCCAAGTATTCAAGCGGCTGCGCATGGTTGGAATCTGTTTTTGCCACGTTCCGTGCCAAGTACTTGCCGGGCCTCTTGCCTGTCAACGAGAGTCATGTTTGCCGCCAAGTGGTTGTGCATCGCCATGTGAAGCCCCGAAGGCATATCAGCGGATGTTCGACAAAGACTTGAGCCTTGGCTTAACAGAATGCAGCAAGGCTGCGCCGAGTTTGGGTGTGGTGTGGCCAGGTGTATGGGTCTGGCTTCGGATCAGGCGCTTTCTGTGATGAAACTGAACATGAACCATTCCGTGCCTTAAAGATGCTTCAAGTACTACAGGCAGCATATTCCACATCCCGCTGCTTGCACACTCAACAGGTGAACAAACAGAAAATGAACTTCTTGTAGAACTTCACCAGCTCGCTGCGATTCTGTTCTTTGCAGGTGCTGGGCAAGCCTTGGATGTTGCATTGTTGGGATGAGCCTGGGTTTTGGGCAGGGGTATTTGGTTCTAGAATCCTGCACCTTTTTCCTGTGATGAATGCGTCGGGATCAATGAACATGACCAGAGCGACACATTGTGTATTTGTTTCGGTCGGCTGCTGGATGGTAGCCATATTGCTAGGGGAGCCGCCAACCTAAGTACGGGAATGATGTTGCTTGAGTTGTGCTGTGGTCAAACTTGGTGGGAGTCGCCCGCGATGTCTTGCATGTTTTGCAGCTAGTTTGTGTTCAGGGCCACGACGACACAATCACAAGAGCGTCCTCCTAATCATGAACTGTCATGCTTGCTCCTTGCAGTTACTTTCGTGCTGAGGGATTGCCATCCCACAAGCCATGCCATGTGCCGTGAAGGAAAGGCCTCATTGCCACGCCTTCGGGAAGCCCACTGCTGCCAGAAAGTTGGGCATACCACGGAATTGTCTTGCTTTATTTGACTCCCTTCGCACGGGGAAGCAGTCTGCTGCATTTTGAGCACGGCAAGCATCATCAACAAATATGCCAACACGAGGGCAAGAAACAATCCTACCGTTGCCAGGCAACAGAAAGAGTTAGGAAGGTTGTTTTTTTGTTTTTTGTTTTTTTAACCTTTCAATTACTATGAGTCATAACCACCAGGGCAAGACACCCTACTGATGGCAACCGAAGAGTCCCGGTCCCTCGAACAAAAAAAACCAGCAGCGCCCCAAGACTCTTGGGCCTTGGGACATCAAAAGGACCCAGATTCACCCTCCAAGGTCTAAGGTCGTAATCTCTTCCAAGGGAAGAAGGCGGCAGCGAGCAGTGGCACTCAGGATCGAGCACGTCCAGTCCGAGACCTCGGGGGACTTCCAGAAGGCTTTGCTTTGCATGCTGCAGGCGGAGGAGGCCCCATTCGACCTGGAGGCGCGTGCGGAGTTTCTCATTGGATTCGGACCCAACCTGTTGGTCGGCGCTTAAAGAGAAACAAAGGACGCCGTTGCCATTTTAGGGGACGCCTGTGTTGAACTATGGGAGTGTCATTTTGTAGAATTGCCTTCTTGGTATGGACTTAAAACGGGGCGCACCCATTTTGAGGGGCTTCTCGATCTTGAAGCCATTTGATTCCCAGAGCGAGATAATACCGACAGCCAAATCGGAGAACAAGCTGGTTGATTCCTGTCGCCAACCTTCAATATTGACATCCACTCGGTTTATCGCGTGTTGCAAATTGTGAGGCAGGGAATGGCCCTGTTTGTCTAAAGCATTATGCGGTGCATCATCCTAAATTCATAGGCAGTTTGCAGGAAGGTGAGGGTTGAGGGCAGCAAAACTTGCATGCCTGGTGTGGAGGTGCAAGCCCCCAAGAGACAGTGACAGAGAAGGGCAGCATAGGGCAGCGACAGCGACAGTGAGACAGAGACAGGCCAGAGACAACAGAGCGAGAGTCCCCTGCCAACGGATTGCTCTTTTCTTTTTCGTTTGGCGTCAAGGCGGACTGCGCAAAGATGAAGGAAGCCATGGTGGCTTGGCTAGGACTGTAAGGGCAATCGCGGGAGCTCAGTTCCCTGGAAGCTAGAACGGGGGGTCCTTGAAGATAGGCGTGGTTTCCCTTTGGCTATCTTTGCAGAAAGAACAACAAAAAACATCACGGGCACACGGAGGCAAATTACACACGCATGCCCAGCTTGCGATCCAGGCTCTGCTTTGGGGATAGCACAAAATTGGTCAGGCTCTGCCAGATGTGAGTCTTTTTGTTTGTGGCATCTCTCGACTTAAGTCGAATCTAGGCCGGCAGATTCATGGCAACTGAGCTGAAAGTTTTAGAATACGTCCTGAGTCCTGAAGTCAAGGAAATGGGGATGGGTGCGCTCCAGCTGCTGAAACAAGTGGTTGGCCTAACCTTGATCAATCCTCCGCGCCATAGAATGGAAATCTCGTTTTTGGCTGGGCTCCTTGCGTCAACCAGGCGGTCCGATGCCGTTCATTACAGTGACATACTTAGCCGCCCATGGATTGCTAGGGTATCATGCGGATTTGTTCCAAATGTGGTGTGTGTGTGTGTGGCCTAACGCGGGCGGTTGTTCTGTGCTGTGGCGCCCTTTTAAAGCAATCCAAAAAGGGCACCCCAGCAACAAGACGCACCCTGTGAGTGCATGTGTTCATTTACCGTTTCCTCATGGCCCTGATTTGGCCGGAGCTTGATACATGCTTTCCGCTGGCTTGAGGAAGGGTGGGGCACGGACGAGACCCTGCTGACCACCATGGTTTGCAACAAGACTTCCAAGCAGATGGAGGATGTGAACAAGAAGTTCAAGGAGCTCTACGAGCGGGACCTCTTGGCATGGGTGCAGAGCGAGACCAGCGGGCATTACAAGAGCACCTTGGTGGGCTGCATCCGGCACCCCATGAAGCAGCTGGCCCATTCGGTGCGGGACTGCATGCAGGGCTGGGGCACGGATGATGAAGGCCTCATCACCTGCCTGGTGCACCTCGAGGATTTCAAGAAAGCCGCGCTGATCCGGGAGTACAAGGCCGAGTTCGACCGCGACATCTTTGAGGACTTCCTCCAAATCCAAACTGTGTGAGGTTTTCCATGGCAAGCCAGGGAAAACCAATTTCAATCAGTCCTAAATGTTGACACATTTTTACAAAGGAGTTGGAGGCAACAGAATACTTGTCGAATGTGAACCTGCAGTTGACAGGGATGAGGTGCTGGTAGGAACACGTGCGCGTCAGGCTTGATGAACTTGTTGGAAGGTGGGCTGAAAAATCGATGGCTGTTGCAAGAGCCAGCTGAAGCAGACGTTGGAACCATGCGAACTTGTGATTCGGGACTCAGGACATCAAGAGTGATACGAGTGGGGACTACCAGCGGGCACTCTGCTCGCTGGTGAAGGCGGCCCCTGAAGTTTGGGCAGAGGCTCTCATTGGTGCAATGAAAGGCCTGGGCACCGCGGATGAGTTGCTAATCAACTTCATGGCCCCTCGCCGAATCAGAGAGTTGATACTCTTGCCCGATGGCTCGCCCTCCCCCATAGCTTCATTTAGGGGATCCAGCTTAGGGTTGCTGGGGTGGTTTTGCTTTATTGTCGGCTGGTGAAGCTACAGGTTGGGTTGTCCACTCTCACCCAGTCACCACCCAGACCTGATGTGTGCTTGCAAAGTGTCGCCAAAGAGGCGCTGCCAAACAAGTTGACGCAGCTTTTCAGAGCTCACTATGCCAACACTGTAGCTCCAAATAGGTGTCTTTGGATGATGGGACTACGCCCGAAATCACCTTCTTTGCGTTTTGAACAACTACAGGTGCCACCTGCACCTATCTGCAGCTTGCGTAGTGCATGGACATTTTGAAGAACAGAGCGACTTTGACTGCGCTGCTTCCAGGGCTTGCGCTTGACGGCCTGCAGCACTCATGCACAACTCTGAGGAAAACGCAAGCCATGGGTTGTGCGCAGAGGTGGGCCCTGAACCAACGTTGCCATGACTTTGCGAGTGAGCCCACTTCACGGTTGACAAAGAAGCGGCAAGAACAAGAAATACCCTCCCTCTACGACTGCCAGTAGGTGCACACGTGCTAACACAGCGGTGTCAGTGGTCTGACAAAGACGGCTCAACACGGCGTCTGAGCTTTGGGCATGCCTTGTTTGTGGGATGACTTGTTTCAGTGTGTGTGTGTGGGTGCGTTTGTGTTTGTGTTTGTGTTTTGTGTTTGTGTTTGTGTTTGGGTGCTGCGTTTGTGTTTTCTTGGGTTTGCTTCTTGTGTTTGTGCAACTGTTGGCTTTTAGCTAGTTTCTTTTCCGGCCCCACCCAGGTCCTGGGCAAGGAGGACATGATGTCGGTGCGCAAGGAGTTCCACAAGCTGAACGGCAAGCTTCTGGAGGCAGGTCCACTAGCAACAAGGGAAGCCCCTCCTATGCCTGTTTGGTCCTTCCTGGAAGCACTTGCTGCTTCCTCAGATGGGTAACCAGGGAAGCCAATTTCCATTTTCGGACAGCTTGCGCTGCCATGCAACTGGAAGGGACATTTACCTCGAAACTTCCGGCCGGACGGCGACCGGATCGCACGGCGAACAGATCGCCTGCCAGAGTTGGGCTGAATTGGAGCCACTTGTGTCTTTGGGGTTCCGAAGTTTCGGTGCGCCACGCGTTGACCTTGAGTGCGCGGGCCTTAGTCCCTTGGGCGATGGCGGCGGCTGAGGCCGTGTTCAAACGCGCTTGTTTGTTCTGCCTCGTGAGGTTAGCATGCGCCCCACGACCATGAGTGACTCTGCCACAGTCGCCAGCCTGTATCAACGCCTGCCCAGTAACCCCAAACCTGAGCAAACACAAGGGGGTGTTGTTGTTTCAACAAGTCCTCCAACAACACACTGTGGGCCACTGACATATGCTTTCTGAAGGCCACCTGGGGAACACAACACCGGCTTCCTCCACAGCATCCCTAATTCATTCTGTCATCTATTCATTATACCATCTACATGACTGCTCTTGGAGGTGTAGAGTCAACCCCCCCTCCTCGGCTTTCCCTGCAGGACTGGATCGAGTCAGAGACCAGCGGGGACTACAAGAAGACTTTGCTGATGCTGGCAGGCCGCAACAGTGAGGAGAATCTCAGCCTGGCTCCGGTCTACTGGGCTCAGCGCTGTCACTCGGCAAAGTGGGCAAACTCTACCGAGATTTGAGCCTGTGAGTGGGTCTTAGGGAGTATCTGGTCCAAGAGTTTTGGGCCTCAGCCTTCAAGTGCTCCACCTTGAAGCATTGCATCTCCGCATTCTGCACCTGTCGCCCCTTCAGGCAAAGACGCGCTCTTCAACATCCAGACTTTGCAGCCAATCCTGATTTGGCGAGGTTTGTGGGCCTTGCACTTTACAAGCTCGTGTATTGAACCTAGTTTTCGTTCTTGCGGGCTGAAACCCGAGGCCATGTTGGGGGGGCATTTGTTTGCCTATTTTGTGGCGTGCCCATCTGCGGGTAAAACGGGCTGACCATTAAGAAGCTGCAATTCAGTTTGCCGCTCGCAGTGGTGGCCCATTTGGTAGTTCAGGGCAATGAAAAGGACGCCCACCATTTTGATCCATTTTGGGAGCCTTATTTTGAGACACCCAATGCCTTTTTGCTGATTTGTTCTTCCTAAGGCAGGAGGTCTTGGTGGCCATGCCGGCCACAGCCATCAAGCGCCACACGGAGCTCTATGAGGCGGTGTACGGGGCCTCCCTGAAGAAGGAGCTGGAGAAGAAGTGCGAGGCCGAAGTCGAAACCGGGGCCGCGACGCAAAAGTTTGTTGTCTTGTCTGCATGTTCAGGGAATACCGGCATGAAAGGAGCTATAGACACATAAACGTGAATGAGCTATGGTAGGAGTCTACCCGCTTCTGAAGAAGTAAGAGGGCGGAGCAGCTATTTATATATTTATGTTCGGGGCCTGAGTTCCACGAAAGCTGAAGGGTTCGTTCTTCGAGAGGGCATATTGTTTGAACCAGTGACTGGCACTGCAACAGTGAAGCAACAATTCGGCGATTTGGGCACGCAGCAGTCATACTGGCCAAGAACTGAGACCACAAGCCAGCATTGCCAAATTGATAGGTCACAACCTGAGTTTGAATGATATTAGCCGTGACCTCCAATCCATGTTTGTCAAATGGTCACCCCTGCCAACCGCAGCCCCACAGCCAGAGTCTGACAGTTCAAGGCAGTGTATGCGTGTACCGGCTCAGGCTGAGGGCAGCACTTTCTTCATGTTCACCAACTATTGGAAGCACGCCATGACCTCCTTGCTGCTGACACTCGCTTAACTTTGTGACACGCTTTGCAGTAAGGGGCACATGCGCTTTGGGTCAGGGTTCAGGTTTGCTTGCGATTTGTTGCTGGCTTCCTTGAAGTGTGGAGTGGGTGGGTGCTTGCGATAGCGTGAGTTAAAGATTTCCCACCTTTTCACTAGCAGGTGACAAGTTGAACAAATGCTTCCACCCAGTGAACCACCCCCCCTTTAGACTCTTAGCAACTTGTCAAGCCGGAGGGGGCACCCATGCTTTCCAAGGATGCCGGTGGAGCTGTATGTCCGCGGCCTGTGGGATGCTATGAACGGCATAGGCACGGACGAGTACACGTTGACGGCCTTGGTTTGCACCTTGCCCAAGAACCTCTATGATGAGATCCACGGCCTCTACGAGAAGACCCACCAGAAGAAGCTGGTGGACCACATCGAGCCTTGGGCAAAGGTAAATCCAGAGCTAGTAAAAGAGACCTGCCCGGAGGAAAACGAAACTGTTTTGGCTGGGGGTTGTGTTGCTTAGTCATTCGGACCTTTCTTGTTACGCGGAAGGAGTAGAAGTGACCATTCAAGTTCAGGAACCAACGTTTTCCCTTAAGTGTCGCCCCGGACTGCTGAGCGGAACAGCAAGGCAACAAACCTTGTTTGGTCACGAGCCCGCCAAATACATTGGAGAAACGCGACAGGTACTCAAACGCCCTTGGATGATGAGCTTGATCCAACGGGCTGCCAACAAGTAAGAAGGTTGCTGCAGTATGTTGTTTCTGGCGAAATGTTAATATTGCCTTTGCCTGTGATTGGAAGCTGGGTATGCCTTGTTTAGTCAACTCCAAGATCCACAGCGGTGGGTATTCAACTGACGCATAGAGTCACTCCGCAATTTTAGATCAGCAAAGCGCCAAGCTGCTTGCTTTGAGAACTTCCTGGGACTTCCTTCAGCTGCGCTTTTAACCGATGACCACTTGGTAAGGTGTCCGATTTGGAGACCCCGAGGTTGGGGCCATTGTGGGCCCTAAGGCGGCCTTTTGCTCTTGACCCTCGCCCAACTTTGCGAGAGGTGATCTCCATTTGCACGTTGCCATGCTCTGGCAAACATGACCCTGACATACTCATGCTCACCCATGGCAGCCGAGGCCGCCTGACACCCAACCCTCGTGGAAGGGGTTGGAAAGACATGTGTTGCGGTCAGTGCGTAAGGCGAATCCTAGGCGATTTTCCCATGCTCGCAGGTCGAGGGCCTTGCAAAGTCACCACCCCGATCGCCCATATCCGTAGCTTCAAGGTGGCCTACCCTGTGACTTGTTGGAAGGAACAGATGTTTTGTTGCCCTGCTGCTTTTCCTGAATGATGTAGCCAGTAATCACCTCTTAGAAGAGCAGATGGTCAACAATCCTGAGGAACTGCAGGCTGGGCTGGTGAAAGCCAATCTGCAATCCCCGAGTCACGAAAGGGATCCCCCTTGGCATTGGTGGTCTGATTGGGGTTACATAAGAATTGGGACTGGCCAGCCCATTTCGAGCAGTGCAGCTGGATAGTTCAGTTGGTATGTCTGAGTCGCAGGCATCCTTCAGTTGAGCAATCGACACATCGCTTTCCAGAAGGCCAAGTCCTTGTCCTGACATTCCTTCTTTCCCCGAGTTTCCGGCAAGTCCTTCTTCCTGTCAAAAACTCCCAGCTACACCCAGAAAATTAGAACAAACCACAGCCCACCCACTTTGGCGAAATTGTCGTCTCCCAAAAGTATCCCCAACAGCCCTTTGCACCCACTTTTGGAGAGATGTTGTCTCCGGCCTGAGGAGTCGGAGACGTCCTTCAGCTACAAGAAGGTCCTGAAGTTTCAGGCCATGAAGTGGGCCGAGAGCCGTGCCACCGCGCTGCATGGGGCCATGGCCGGCTGGGGCACCTCCGAAGACCAGCTGATCCGCGTCATCATCTGCTCGACCTTCAAGGACACCGGCGCTTCGGAACGGGCGGAACAAGTGGGCGCGGTTTTGGAACGGGGCTTGGAGTTCATGGCAAAAAGAGGGAGGAAGGGTTGCTTTTTGCGGAGGGTTGCTCCTCATTTCCAGCTTGGGAATGATGACATTTGTTTCCAGATGGGCCAAAGCTTGGAAGCCAAACCAAGAGACAAGGGTCGGTAAGGGTGTGTTTGTTGCTGAGGGGTCAGACTTTTTGTTGGCTACTTGAAAGGCGGGAAACCGCCGATTTCGGCGACAATCCAGCAACAGCTCAGCGTAAACAGCTTGGCTCTTAAGCGTGAGCGTGGCGACACAAGATCCATCATGAGTGGCTGGCGAGTTGAAGTAAGCCCGCCGGGCCAATGGTAAGGGATGCAGATTGCTTATAGGGGCCGTTTGCCCGCTTTTTCGGAGCTGCGCGTGTAAGTAACCTGCGATCCGGCAGTAGTTGCTGTTGAAGGGAAGCGGTTTCCGTTTGCTCCTGCACACACATTGATAAGCCAGCGGGCTTTGCAATTGTTGAGCACTTGTAGTCTCATGAGGCACGATCAATCACCCCGCTAAGAGATTTGGATGACACTTGTTTTTGAGTTGCCGAAGCGTACTTTATTCGATCTTGTGTCCTTCCATTTTCGCAAGCATTTCCATTCCAAATGTTCAAGCGACTTGCAATGCCCAAGCTCTCCTTTGTTGTTGCAAGAAAGGGTTAGCAGTCAGTTTTATTGCTTGGTCAAAGCTGTGGATTGCTTGTCAGTTTCTTGCTCTGCTGCCTAAATATATTTACGCTTCCCGTCATGCCCTGCAAATGCCGGTTTGGCCGCCACGTTGTCACGTCAGGTTGATCGGTAAAAGCTGGAAAGGCTTGCCACCAGAGCTGGTAATAAGCCAAGTATGAAGCTCCATCGGCTCCCTCTTTCATACTGCAGTGGTACATGGGCTCCCTTTGTTTTTCACCCTTCATACTTTGTTTCTCCTTTTCATTGTTTTGTTTTAAACAATTATGAAGGGTTGAAAAAAAGATTCCCCGTTGGTACCTGGGCCAACTGGGCATGACACGTGAGATGGTCGCTGCAAACTGTGCGCAGGAGCGCCGACTTATCCGTGAGGCTTATCAACGCCTGTTTGAGCGAGACTTGATCGAGCACGTGCAGTCTGAAACCAGTGGCAATTTCAAGAACATCTTGGTCGCTGTACTCAAGTGCACGCATCCCAAGCGGACTCTGGATTATGAGAAGCTTGCCTGGGATAGCAGGTTTTTGCCTTGCTCGCAGAGGGCAGCGGGGAATTCGCTTGACATGTCAATCAAACATTGAGAGCTAGCCATGCGAGATCATGCGAGCCTTTGGGCGGCAGCTTAATCCCTTTCATTCAATCTTGGCCGGCCACATGTTGAGAAGGAGCTTGCCTCCAAGGGCCAATCGTCGCATCCAAGTGTTGTTCTGTTTCAGGCTCAAGGAAGCTTGGACCTGTCTTGAATCTGGCCTCTTGCTGGGCCCATGTTTGTTTAGGAGAGTTAGTTGCACGCATATCTAAACCCAGCGATGTGGGTACAGCACCAACCGGGCAGACGTATTTTAGACAATTTTTCTTATGGGAGCCGGCTATGACCCATATTTGCGGAGTTGTGACCAATGCACATGCATCACGGAACGGTGACCCGTCCTTTCGGTTTGTCCGAGGAAGGATTGCGAGGATTTGAAGGCTGCCATGGACGGTGTGGGCACCAATGAGCGGGCAATCATCCAGATTGTTGCGGGCAAGACGCCCCAGCAGATTGAGACGCTCAAGGCCAAGTTTCAAGAGAAGTTCGGGGAGGACCGCGGGATCCAGCTCGTGTGAGATTTGTTTGCTAGTTCAGTTTCTATGATACCAAGGGAATCCCCTTTTGAATTGAGTTATGGGCAGGATTTTTCCAGCGAACAGTGGAATTCCAAGACCTGAGAATGGGAGGTCCAGGCATGTTCCCATGAGCAGCCTCCAAGGCTCGAATAGGGGCAAAAGTGTTTACAAGAGGGCACGCTGGGCCGTGTTTCACTGCACATCTATCTCTCACTGGCATTGGCAACCCATTTACCCTGGCAAATCAGGAACTGCCTGCGCGTCCAGCCACGGACTTCGGGGGGAAATTTTGGCCCGCAGGACCTGTACGCGCGCATCGACAGTGAGACCTGGGACTGCGGTACCTGCATCTTCCTCTCGGCCAACTTCAGGGCCTGCATGCTGGGCTTCTCACAGCAGAGGGGGGTGTTTGTTTGTCAGGGCACCCGCTTGGCTTTATTTGAAAGCGGAATCACAGGGTCACACACACGCAAAAAGCATTTCGTATATGCTTTCAGGTAGCTCCTGTACAACCTTTGCTCACCGATCGGACACGAAGCGCATCCACCGGTAGATCCAGACCATGCGTTGGCTTTGATTGTGGCACCGGACTTGTCCATTTAGACACGTTCATTGCATCAGCATGGTCCCAACCTCGCCTGAGGCATTTTGCATCTCTGTTCAGGTCGGCACAGGTACGTAGCCTTTGCCTCCATCTGCCGGAGTTGGTTGAATGCAGCGCCTACTAATCTCTCCTTGAGCCACAGCCCTGTTTGCTGCCCGTGCTTGGCCGGCCCAACGAGGCTTGCTTACGGAGCCTGCGCTGCGTCTGGCGGGCGCGGTGCGGGACTGCATCGTGGGCTGGGGCACCGACGACACGGGGCTCATCACGCTCCTGGTGCACCTCTCCGAGCGCCAGCGCAGGGACCTGGTGGACAAGTACGCGGAGGTGAAGAACGGCGGAGATCTCTTCCAGGCGGGGATTGGGAAGCACCAGTGCAACCATAGGTGCCATAGGTATAAGAGTGGGTCCGACAGTACCCTCAGAGGGTGGATGAGCGGACTTTGAATGTCAGTGTGATTGGGGTCCACGGCATGGTTCACAAGTCAAATCCATACCCACTGTGGCCTTTGTGTTTTTTTGTCTCATTGGTTTGTCCTGTCGCTTCTTCTTGCCGATGATTTAAGGAATGAGGGGGAACCTTCTCCTGGCAAGCCACTGTTGGGTTTGACATGGTTTGACAGTTTGAGAAACGGGTTGTCCTTCTTGGCCTTTTCCCCGCCAATTAGCCATGGAAGTCTGCAAAATACAGCTCAAGACAGCGTGTTCGGCCACCAGTTCAACCCAGCCATTCATTCAAAGAAGATTTGCTAGAAACCCTTGGTGTGGGTTGATTGCTGCGGTTTTGGCATCTATTCCTTGTGCTTCTTGTTGGTCGCTTCCCTGCCACTTGGTTTACAGACCTCTCACCCGCTTCGCTGCCTTCAGGCAATCAAGGGCGACACCAGCGGCGAGTACGAGCGAGCCCTCCTGGCGTGGCTCAGCCGGGACTGGCCTTAAGCATGTGTCTTGAAACAGGAGGCTCACCCTACATCCCTTTTGAAAACCATCCCAAAAAGGGTGCTCAAAACAGACAAGAATGCGCTGTGTGTCATCTTGGGAATCAGATGAACTTAACTCACACAAGCAGTCTTTGCCATGACCAGGTGAAGTTGGGCTGTTTTCTTTCCGCACCTGTCCACTCAGTTGCAACATGTGGCCATGTTGGAACAAAGGGGGTTGGGGGAACCCACGTGCCATTCCATGCCAATGACCGGCCCATTTCCGCGGCCAAATCCCCGCCTTGAGCTCAGGCTGGTGAAGCCACCGCCGCAGGTCTGGGCTGAGGCCATCATGAGCTCGATGAAGGGCCTGGGCACCTCGGACAACTTGTTGATCAACTGGATGTGCATCGCCAAGGAGCGCATGGATGAGGCCAGAACGTCACCCCGATATTTTCCGGATATTTGTGGCAGGGCCCTGAAAATGGCTGGGCTGTCCCCGTGCTCAACCGAGAAAATATTCCTTTTGAAGTGCAGGAGGTTGATTTACGTGTTGATGTAGCGATCATTGGGCGCTGCCTTGAGCAGTTGGCTCGTTTGAGGGTGGAATCCGCAGCGTGAGGTTGATAGGCACGTCAGAAGCACGGGTAGGGCGGAAATCCATAGCCAGTTGCCTGGCTATTGCATCCGGAGGTCCGCGACCACTTCTATGAGCAGGATGGCCGGGGTATTGCGAAGTGGATTGATGGTGACTGCAGCGGCGATTACAAGGACCCATCGCTTGGTCGCTTGAAGCTTGTGGCCCGGTACGGCCTTTGTGGAGTTCCCCAAAATGGGAGCCAGCAACAAGAGAACTCCCACCATGATATGATGTTTATCATGGTTTTTGTAAGGCCAGAACTGTAGATGAATTTAGGGTGTTGCTCCTTTGCGAAACGAAGTGTGCAGAACTAACTCTGCAAGAGCATCAACCATTTGATGGCTGCCTTTTTTACCCAGAGATGCCGTGCTTCAGGATAGGCAAAAGCTGCTTGTAGGGCGGTGGCAGTAGAACATTGAGTAACTCAACAGAGTACCCGTCATGCGAGCATTGCACATCAGCTGATGGCATGCAGGCACCTCGCAACTTCCGCGTACCAGCGTGGGGGGAACATTCAAATTATACCGCCCACTGGTAGAAAATCGCTCGGTCTTGGGAACAACAACAGCGTGGTATGTGCCATGTTCAACATGTTTGCGCGGGATTGCTAGAGACTCATAGTAGTGGTCTACCCCTGAGACAATAAGGCGGCGGCCCCCCCCCCCAAACAAAGAAATCCCAAAACATAAGATTTGATTGTTTCCTCTATTTACAATTCGGAGACACCGGTTTTCGAGTTGAAGTCTAGCAAACCACTTTTGAATTAGTTTTTTCCTTTATTCTGGCAATTCCAGGAAGCTTGGCAGCACTACTTCAAAAGGGGACAGTTTTTTGTGGCAATGCTACTGTAGACGGTTTTGAAGAGCTTTTGTATTGGATCCATCTCCAGGAAGTGACGCAGATCATTAGCTTATTTTGGGTTTGGGTATTGTTTGTCTTGGGTTGTTGTTGGCCCGCCAAACAATAGGGGCGCGTCATTGTTGTTTGGACATTGTTTAGCTAAATTCAGGGGGTATTTACGAATCAATATGTAGTGGACATTACCACCTCGAAACACCCAGACCATGACCATGAGGCTCCATTGGGTGGCACGACGTTGGCCAGGCATTGTTGGTCCTTGCATTGGTCAGGACCTCCGTTGAAAGGCATCGAACCTTGAAACGTGCCCCTTTGAGGTTTTCAGATTCCAGCTGAACACGGGAACGTGCGACCAGAGAAGTAAAAAACCGAGTTGCTTGTTAGCGTGCAGCGTGCGAAAGGGGTAGCACTACATGCAATACCTACGAGCAATGGGTTGCTGTTTGGGCTACCCTCCATAGCGTATGGTGTTTGCTTGCTAGACAGTGACCAGGGATTTCTAGATATTCAAGGAAGAATGCTCAAGAGGGCTTTGCAGCTCATCCACCTTTGCTTCCATGCATTTGCAAACTGCGCAGATTCATTTCTTCCAGATGCTTGGTGCTCATAAGCTTGGAGTGCATTTTCCCAAGAATGGTTCCTTGTTGTCTCGCTAGACCATCCTTCAACTGTGGGGTCAGCAAAATACGCTTGAGTTCCCAGTCAGCCGTCGTGCTTTGAAGGACACCCTGGTGCGTCTCGCAAACCGCCGCTGTGAACGCTTCGCGGGTCAAGAGGTAGGACTCAGCATATCGCCGCCGATGACAAAGGAGGACAGCACCGACCTAGCCACGGCACGGGGGGTCCAAGTGAAGGGATTGACAGATATGCCTCTTACCAGTCTTTTGTAAGGTTCTTGTGATGTCCTTTCTACGTCCAGTGATCGTTGTAAGGTCCTTCTGATATGGCTTTTGATAAATGTTTTGAGATATGGGATCGCTGCGGGCGGCTACCTTCCAGTCAAGAGTTTCTGGACAGGTGTCATTTCGGTTCGGGCCACGCAGCGATTACTTGCAGTTACTTGCAGACCATCACGTCCGGGGTTGGTCGCCATGGGATCTTACAGTGCGAAGCGTCAGAAAGTGCCTGGCGAGGCAATACCTGGCGAATCAAGCCCCCCAAAATGGAGGAGCTGTATCTATTATTAGGCTGTCATTATTTGTTTGCAAGCTTGTTTCAGGGAAAGTGGCTACGGATGAGCTGGCATTCGAAAGGATAACTAAATTGCGCGGGAACTCTTGTTCAAGTTTCTGCAGAGTTTCCCCGGGTGTGCGGCACAGTGTATGCAGAAAGGGCATTGTTTATGGTGACCCTTTGTGAAGTCAGCAGTCAGCAAGAAAGACAAGCTGCAGCCCTTTGCGGCCAGCCCCTACGGCGTTGCTCAAAGCCTCAAACATTTAATACGATCAGCTTTGACCTCAAGGGGCCCATGGTCGATTGGCAACGACCATTGGTGGCCATTCCACGGCCCTTTGAATCAACCTGGGAGAACTTGCCTTTGTAGACTTTGCAGTTGTGTCTTGCGAGGACGGCATCCTGAAGTTCACCAAGACCTTCAACAAGCTGTGCCGACTGCGCAAGCAGAAAGGCGAGAACATCATGCCTGGGGAGGAGGACCAACAAGCAATGGGCAATGCCTTCTTGTGCCTTGACCTTTGGGCAATGAACTTTTCACTTGGGCGTGTCTTCCCAGGGGGAACCAAAGGCAAATCACCGGGCATTCCCTCATGTGACGAACCTGCTCAGACGTTTCGGGGAAGCCTGGCTTTGTAACTAGACCTTAACCCGAACGCTGCGATTGCATCAGCTGTTGATCTTCGTGCATCAGCTGTTGATCTTCGTTTGCCATTGGCCGACTTGTTTCCAGGGTTGCAAAGCCCAGGTACTATGGATCGCTGTCCAGCTGCGCTCCGAATCTGGACGTTCCTGGGCTTTGGGATTTGACCAACGCGTGCAACTTTCCGCCGGGGGACGACTGCGAAGACTTGGTGGCCACCTTCAACGAGTGGGACGTAAGTGGCACGGGAGAGATCACCTGGAACGACTTTGTCCGGGAGATGACCACGCGCATCAACGACCCCAACCACTTTGAGGCTCAAAGCTCGTGTTGAGCAAGTTTGGACATGTCAAAGACGTGAAAAGGGATGGCATGCCAAGAAGAAGCACAAATGCAAGCTTGTTTTGAGGTCCGCAAGTTTGCAAAATTGCCAGCGAGTTTACTTTCCAACGGCTCAGATTTCATGCAAGCTCGATGGTAGGTCTGGGATGCCCCTTTTGAAGAATCTCTGCCAGTTCCCCATGGAACAAGACAGTGTCATGTCCAGGCACCCCCGCTACCTGAAACTGCGGACATGATCAACATTCCCGACAAGCCTCTCAGCGACGCGTGGAAGACAGTCGTTTTCAACGCCTCTGATGATGATTACGAGGCCGCTGGGCTGAACATGGTGCAGCCCGGTGGTGAGTGCGCTATTTGCGAGTCTGGTGAGCTCATGGATGTAGTCTTGTTCTTCATGGGCTGCGCGGTTAGCATCAATTGAGTCATTCAATGCAAGCAGAAGAACAACGGATACAGTCACAGAAGGGCCGCACCCTACAGTGACTCATGCTGTATTCTCTCTTGTTTTTTTCAATCTCCCCATCTTTGTTTGTTTAGACATTCATAGGGTCCCAGGCGTTTCTACTACGGTCCTGGCCCAAATAGGTTCCCCTTTGCCGGGTGGAAATCAAGACATTTTCTTGGATATGTCAATGTTAACTATGAAAGGCAACATTCATAATTGCAGCTCAAAGTTTGAGTTTATCATTAAAACAAAGAAACTTGAAGTACCCCTAATAAGGGCTGTCAGGAGTTTAATTCGTATTGATTTAGTATTGGGTGAATTTAAAGGTAAAAGGGGAGACGCCTTTGCTTTTTGGGATTTTGGCCTGGACCGCATATGTGTTCATGAGGGTGGATTTTTGATAGGGGGAGCGAATCAGGACCCAGCTGCGGAGCCCGCGCAGCCCGCGCAGCCCGCTGAGCCGGCCGAACCAGCGGCGCCTTGGAACGATGATGAGAAGCCGGACATGTTCAAGGCGGGACCACGGGATTTTCATTTGGGATCTGAAAATGGATGAGCTTCTGAAACCATGACATTCACAGAATTGAGAGGTCCTTCTGAAGTCAGAAGCTGCCGCATCCCCACCACCCAAGTAAGAAAGGGTTGGCCATTTCCAGACATTTTCCCCTTGTGGGTACAGTTGAGAGCGGATTAACCTCACTCCTCACGTTCTTTCGACAGGTTGCGAGGGGTGATGTTGTCCCGATTTCAAGGGACGGTTCCTCGTCACAGTCGGGACGAAGCCCTGATTTCAAGATGGTTTCCTTTTGAACAACCCTGAATGGAGGGGAATGTCGACCGCAGTTAAGGCTCCGTCGTGCAAAGCTGACCTACCAGTGCCTTCTGGTTGTCCAGTTCCGGCCCAAGTTGGCCGCTCCACTCTTGTAACTGACAGCCAATGGGCACATAGGAAGGACAGTCCGAAAGACGGAAAGTAGAACGTCCGGCGCGGAGCTCTCGCGGGCATGTTGCCAGGCACTCAACGATGGCACCTGGAAGGAGAAGATCGCTGGCGTCCAGCCGCAGGTGGATGGCGATCTGCTGGCCGGGCTTTGGGCGGATCTCGTGTCAGCGGCGTGCTGGCTGGAGGTGAAGGAGCAGTGGCAAGGCAGGGGAAGGGACAATCCCATCAAGACGGTTCAAGTCGTGTCATCCTGTAAGGTGAGTGTCCTTCAGGGATGATGTCTTGAGGGAAATATCGTGAATTCTGGCGTTGGTACTCATACTTTTACATGCGTGTTGAATTTGCACTCTAGGTTTGCTGTTTTGACATGGGGCATGGCGACTGCCTGAGTTCGGTCATGACACAACAGCAAGCTCACCCACGACTTTTTAAGCACTGATTGTCCCCACGCACGTTGCTAGCTGCGTTTGACCATCACGAAATTCCTGTTCGGGCCACTGATGGAGAAGTCAGGCATTTTTAAGCCCTCTTTTGATATTGGAATAGCTCTTCAGGGGCCAGAGCAATGGTTCCGTTTTCCCTGCCGCACTCAGGGCGCTTCCCTGAAGCACCTGTGGGCCTGGTCATCACCCACCTCGCTTCAGAGCATGCTGACTTTGTCCCGGCGGCGGAGCGGACAGAACAGGCAGGGCCTGGAGCTCGCACTATTATGCACAGCCCTGGTTGTGTGGTCAAGACCTTATGATAAGTCCCAAAGAGCGAAAACTGGTACCACATGCCGACAGCGTGTTTGGAAACCGCAGTTTGCTCAGGTTTCGACATGAAGCGTCAGGGTTCGCCAGGCTACCAAGGGCTACCTCTCCGAGCAGGAGAAGCCGCAAGAGGCGGTGGAAGCGCCGCCTGCAAAGAAGGACATGTACCAGGCTTGCGCGGGGCTGGGGTGGTTGCTCGGTTTTGCACAAGAAGTCGGGCGCTCGACTAGACGCCTTCCTTGTATCTACGTTTGAGACCAACATGTGCAACAATCATTGACGGATTCCCTAAGTTTTCAGGGCGCTACCTTACTCGGTATACGTGGAACCCTGCAACTGCTGTGTTGCCCTTCAGGACGGGTCAGTCCGCGTGTTTGTCGCATGGCCAAGTTGGATCACGACAGTCAGGCAGCGCAGCACCAAAGTCGTCACTGCCTTGTGCTGTGGAGGCTCAACCGTGCAAAGCTGACCTTTGCATCTTCTGATTTCAACTTGTTCAGATCCGGTCATGATTTACGAAAATCATCAAAGACTCCCTTTAGGAATAAAGGAACGAAGGAAGGGAGGGAGGGAGGAAGGAAGGGAGACAGGGTGGGCCCGCCCTTTCACTGCCAGGAGCTGATCAATGGCACCTGGAAGGAGGCGATCGCGGGCGTCCAACCGCAGGTGGATGGCGATCTGCTGGCCGGGCTTTGGGCGGATCTCATCACAGGGGCGTGCTGGCTGGAGGTGAAGGAGCAGTGGCAAGGCAGGGGTTGCAGATGTCCTACGTGCGCCCCGTCGCACCGTGGTTGTTTTTTTGATGCTTTGCGACAACACGATTTGTTTGCAAAGTTCTGTTTTTTTTTTCCCCGTGCAATCTAGTGATAGTTACGGCCCCCGGGAAGTACCTGAGTTCTGCCATTGCCGATTCTGACCAGCCTCCTCCGCTGGGGATACTGGGGGTTCAGGGCTGGAACCCGGCTCCGTACAACCAAGTGCACCACGGCAAGGCCAGCATCTTAAGCAAAAACCATAAGCTGGGTTGACTGACTGGGGGTCATGGCTCAAGGGTGCAGCAATTGTAGCTCCGGAGGATGAAGCAATCCACTACCACTTATGTGAGGCGGAATCCTGTGAAAGTATCTAAGTGACTCCTTGATTACTATTTGGGTCCCTTGAAGCGGGGATTCTTAATGTGTGGAGAGTGCAGCTGATTGTTCACTCCATTGTTGCTAGTTCCTCCACATAGGGTGTTTGAAGATGTTCAATCAGCAAAAGTCGACCATTAATTACTTTTCATGTTTGGCTATTTCGGGCCAAGTCAGGCATGGCGGCCAGTGTCTGGGCCCCATTCATTTTGAAGTCCGAAAAGGGGCCAGCGCAACATCGCCTGTGCCCGCAGGGCGCTTCCCCGAAGCACCTGTGGGTATGGTCATCACCCACCTCGCGTCAGAGCACGCTGACTTTGTCCCAGCGGCGGAGCGAACGGAACAGGCCAGGCATCTAGTCAGGGACCACTTCCTTGGGTTTAGACGGTTCGCCCTGCCAACGGGCCACTGGAAAAGTCAAGCCGGCACTGCATGTCCTATTTGTCAATGCGTTGGTAACCACAGCCTGTTCAATTGATCCTGGGCTTGGACATGAAGCGCCCTCTGAAGCTTGACCGTCAGTTTGAGCAAACAAAGCGCAGGGTTACCCGGCTGGAATTGCCAGGCCACCAAAGGATTTCTCTCCGAGCAAGCGCCGCAAGCGCCAGCACGGCCCTACCCTGACATGTACCAGGCGCGGTGCCAGGGGATAGACCCATGGGATTTCAACAAACAGCCAGAACAACCAGAAGTAACCAGAAATCAAGACGATGCAACGCTTCTGGGTTTATTTTGGTGGGTGGGGTTTAGACGCCCGGGGGTTGGGGGTGGGGGGTTAAGAGGGTGATAAGAGGGTGTACAAACATGCTCCCGCTTGGCAGTTTGTATCATGCACAAGCAAGCAACCCTTTGCTACCGTTGTCGCGTTCAGCAAGCAAAGGTGCGGGTGGTGTCGCATCGCGTTGCTAGAGCTGGGATTTGTAAGCCCTGCACCCAGCTGGAAGCATGACGATGAACATGGCCATCACTCCCAGCAAAGGCCCTGGTGAACTTGGAGAAAGCTGTGATTTGCATATGTGGCAAGACAGCGTCAGAAGGAGCTAGCTTGGTTTTTAACGAGCTGTTTAGAATACCCTTTCATAATGAGCAGCGGTTGCTTCTCCTTTGACGTGTTCATGCGCATGCCGCATCAACTGAAATCATTGCCCAGGCACACACCTGGCTGGTACCTCCATCCAACCCTGCTCATCCGTCATTGTTTCAAGAACCAGCCTGAAGCAGCTATTTGCCGTGGGCGATGGCTTCAAAATCCAATTCATTCAAAGTCGGGAGGTCACGGCTCTTTGAATCTAGGGGTGATAAGCCCCTGGCACCCGACAACATTTGCAGTGACAAAGCAGAGCTTGCGCGCTATGCTTATGCGGGTCCTTCCCATGCTGCAACTCTTGCTTGCTTATGTAAGGGCGGGCGTTTAGAGTTGCTCAATTGGACACGGATCGAGCCGAAGCAGGGTTTGGCGTTTGGACAAGGGGTCAGCCTTTCTTAAGTAATTCGTGGAGGATTGAAGGTGGATGTACAGTTAAACCTTAAAGGAATGTTCTCTGAGTTTTGTTGTTGTTTGTTCTGTTAAAGTGCTGTTCTGGCTTCGGCCAGGCGTTCTTTGACGGCTCCTGGAAGCAAAAGCTGCAGGGTGTTGCGCCCGAGACGGGCGAGGGCGGGCTGCTGGTGGGAGTTTGGGGAGACCTGGTGGCCGCGGCAACCTGTATCGAGCAGACGGAGGAGTGTCGGGAAATCGGGCGATGTGTTTTTTTGAGCTGCACACCTGCTCGCCAAGCTTTTTGAAGGCAGAGATTTCAATCATTCCTTCCATGTTGACCCAGATTTGATTCGAAGTCGGGTCCGTGTGTCAACCCAGCTGGACCTGAGATCATTTTGCATTGAGCCTCCTGGGCCGCCGGCTTCCTCGTAGTGCTGCAGCACCGTGCGCGCATGACCGTTGCTTGGTGTGGCTTCGCAGGTTCGGCATTTGCATCTCGGGGAGGGTCTGTAGAACAAGCAGCGTCAGCATGACCGAGTTCCGTGGGCTTGCCTCGAGGCGAAACACAATCATTTGTTCCTGCTTATTACTAAAGCAAGCTGTGCCAGTCTTTCTGCATTTAATGCCATGGACGGCGCTGACAATCACGAATGCTTTTGCGCAGAGCTCCTGATCTTCTTGCCTCTATGTGCTCCATGGTCCGAGTCGATTGAAAGCAAGCAGCTTTCAGATTAGTTATCCTTTTCCGCCTTCCTCCCAATCCTTCCTCTCTCTCTCTCTCGCTCTCTCTCTCTCTCTCGCTCTCTCTCTCTCGCTCTCTTTTGCTCTACTTTCCCCTTTCTCTCTCTCTCTCTCTGTTTGCTTCGTTTTGTCTGTTTTTTTGTCTCAGTGGGGGCGAGATCCGAGCCTACTTGTGAATTTCAGCATCGCCTCTTGGCCCAGAGGGTCTTCGTGGTGATGGCAAACGCTGGGATCTTCGTCGAAGTCATGTTCGTTGTACTGCGTTGTTCAGATAAATGATGCGGGTATGAGAGTGCCCTACTTGGGATCGGTGAAACGAAGACAAGGCCCGCTTTGGGGGTTCTGCAAAGCACAAAACACAACCAGAGCGGGTTTACGCCAATGCTTTCGTCCCCCGTGCGTAAACATAGGGACCCCTGTTCCAAGCGGCGCTTTGCGCTAGGACTGGCAGGGCCGCGGCATCACAGAGCCGCCAGCGGGACAAGTCATTGACTTCATGTGGGAGGCCCGTGCGTGGTGCGGCGGGTGATGTCCCAATGTGGACTTTCCTGGTAGGTTCCCATGTGGGTTGCCCCTGTTTACCTGGGTTTTCCGGCTCATGGGTTCCTGGTATGCAAACAGTGTCCTTTTAGTGGCTGGTTCGTGCAACAGGGCTTGGGAAGGAGAACCTGGCGGATTATTTCCTTACGAACGAGGCTTTTACTGAAGGGCTTTGGGAATGAATCAGTTTGGGATCCTGTAAGTCATGACACACATCTTTTTTTGCCGGGGTCATCGCAGAACCACCTGTTGTGAAGAGCAAGTTTACAGCCGGTTGCTCCGCGACATGACGGGATTAGAACCTTGCAATTTCTGAACATGAACAGTTTCCCCACTAGCTCGCAAACAAGCTAAGTTGTTCGAAACCCTCAGGCGCAAAAGGTCTTGAATGGGGCGCTGCAGGTCCGAAATGAACCCACAAGCATGTCAGACCTTCATTTCAATCCCTCCCCAAGGCTTCCGGCAGCTAGGTAAGGTCCAATATGAATAACAGGGTGATGATTGGGACCTGTGTAAAAGCTGGGGTCAAAGACCGATCCAGTACAGCTGGTGAAAGTAGATAGCGCAACTCGCTCGTTTCGCTTTCAGCATGCTTGTGAATCCAGGGCTTACTACATGTCCCCTTGTTGCAAGGGTAATTTGGAACATTGGAAAGGGCAACTTGACGTGAGTTTAGTATTTGCGGCGATGTTTGTTGGGCTAAAGCGTTAACCGTAGGTGGTCGCTTGTCTTGACTCTTAATAAGTATCCACTTGGGCCACCATTTTGGCTCAAGTGGACCTTTTGATCTTTGGTCGTGTGATTTGAAATCTTTCTTTCCCCTCTCTCAAAGCCATGTACGCCCCCGCCTATGCTGGTGCCGCGGTAGCAGAGGCTAAGGCTAAGGCAAAGGCCTCCATGGCAAAGTACCTGGCGAGCCTCGTGAAGAGGGAGGAAGAAGGATGGACCGTTTTGGCTGCCGAGGTCCCTCAGGCACCTGACGAGCGTTTCTTCTCCAGCGCAGATGAGTTGGAGCAGACCCCTCTTATCCCGGCCAAGCGCAAGGCAGAGGATGAGCCGATGGAAGATGCAGCCCCTGGGGTGGCGCAGGTGCCGAAGGCCCTGACACGCCCCCCAGGGGCGTTCCTGGAGCTCCTGAACCCGCCAAAAAAAACGTGCCCATGGAGGAGCTCCGGGCGCAGGACGAGAAGGAGCTGCCGATGCCCAGGTCCCCCTCGGCTGCAGCCCGCTTGGAAGAGACCCGCCTGGATGCCCGGGCAGACGCCAAGTGGCAGAGGCGCCGGGAGCTGATGGCGAAGGTCAAGGAGCAGGCGTCCTCGGAGGAGGATGAGAACCCCGCAGCCCCCCCGCCGGGGGGGAGCGTGTTCACCAAGGCCCTCAAGGTCTCGGAGGGCCTCTACCAGTTCAGCGACGACCAGATGGCGGGCGACTTCCCTTGCTTCGATGCGACCACGGCCATAGGCTCCGCCGACTGCAGGCCAAGGACGTCCAGCGGCTCCTGCGAGGCTTTGAGGGCCCCCAACTCAAGCAGGGGGGCCTGGAGCGCGTTGTGGAGGCCTTCTACATCGCCAAGATGAAGTACGAGCATGAGGCCCGGCTCAGCACCCCGGGACAGCAGGTTGGCAAGCGCGCTGGCTTGGGGTACGGGGGCCTGGAGAACCGCCCCCTGGGCAAGGTGCCCACATCCTGGATCTGCCCCTGCTGCACCATGCCCTGGGTGAAGAAGGGCGCCACGAAGTGCATGGGGTGCGGCAAGAAGACGGAGCCCATTGACATGGCGACCAACTCGGCCACCCTGGAGATTGCAGGCACGCATTGGCAGTTGACGGTGGATGACCAGGGCAATGCGGTCTGGACGGCGGCCCGGTCCGCAGGTGCCGAAGGCCCTGACACGGACCGGGCCCGCGACCTCAAGCTCAGTGCCTCGGTGGACGTCAGCGAGCTGGCCACCGACCCGATGGCCTGCGAGAACCCGGACCAGGCCAGCTTCTCGGACTTCGTCCCCTCCTCGGTCCGGGCGGTGATCAGGAACTGCCCCATGGAGCTGGACGAGGAGTTTCTGACGGCCCCACCGGGGGAGAGGCCCCCATTGCCAGGCGACAAGGAAGAGGGCCAGGAATGCAGAGCCTTCCACCCGTCTGCGGTGAAGGCCTTCAAGATTCAGACCCGGCTCAACGCCACCACCATCGCCCAGGAGGAGGCCAAGAAGGCGGACCAGGTGGAAGCGGTGGAGCGCTCCGCGGCGGTCCTCCACGAACTTCAAGGGGGGGCCATTGACGGAGGAGGTGATGGAGGCCTGCTCCTGAAGAACCTGGACTTGGACCTCTTCCGTGAGAAGCTGCTGGACAAGCTGGGTGCGGACTGGGGGAGACCCACACCGGAGCTCCTCCAGGCCCAGACCACCGCGGAGGAGGCGAAAGCGAAACACCAAGCCAGACAGGCGAAGGGCGCCCTCGAAACCAGGATGCTAGCGCCCATCGCGCCTCCCTTCAGTGCGTGGCCCAGTGAGGTCCGGGTCGCCATTGAGACTGGGGTCTTCGAGCCGACAACGGCATGGAGGGACTTCAGTATGGACGACCTCACATCGCTCACGGACTCCTACCTTGAGGCCAAGGCGGTCATCTCGCTGGGTAGGAATCCCTTCCCGGCGGCCCTCCTGTCAGATCTGCCGGACCTGGCAGGGATCCCCATGCCAAAGGCGGGGGGCTCTGGTGCGGCGCGCCCAGGTGCCGAGGGCCCTGACAGGCCGCCCACCATCTCCTCAGCCTCGGGCTCTGGCGTGACGAGCTCAGGTGCCGAGGGCCCTGACAAGCCCGCCACCCCGGTGGGCCTGGACACCAAGGACCCGGAGGTGCAGCTCGCGGTCCTGCGCTGGATGATGAGCAAACGGGTCGGAGAGGTCCGTATCTTTGCGGGCCGCTGGGTCCGACGACCGGGCCCGGTACACGTCCCGGATTGGGCGGAACCTCACCAAGGTGAATCCGGAGGCGTTGGAGAAGGGTACGCATCCCAGGAGCCACCAGGGGGGTGGACTCCCCTGGGCCAGGTACTCCGTGGATGAGTTGAACCAGCAGGCGAAGGCGGGGGACCGACCCTACCCTGGGGACCTGCGATCCATCTTTTGGGCTGCCCCCCACGATCCGGATGAGGATTTCCACTGGATTCGCCAGATCTCGTCCTGGACACTCCCAGGCCTACTGGGGATGTTCGGGCACAGCTACACCCTGCGCCAGCTCTGGGGAGTCTGGGAGTCTCTGCCTCTGCTGCAGGGCCCTAGGCAGCGGGGCCCGAGAAACAAGGCCCAGAATCAGACCCGCCTGGAGGGCTGGGAGACCCTGAAGGAGGACGCGCGGTGCTTCCTGAAGGAGGAGGGCCTTCCGTTTCCGCAGACAGGACCGGAGTGGCGATTGGTCTACCGGGCCATGGGCAAGGTCCTCGCGGCCCGGGCCTTCCTCACGGACACCCCGGCGGAGGTGATGCAGCTCCCGGTCCAGGACGTGGCGGACTCCAAGGAGCAGATGATCCTGCGGGCGGTATGCGACGAGCGCATCTCGGTCCCGGTGGAGAGCCTCCAGCAGTTCCCAGAGGTGTACAAGGCCCTCATGGACCGCATTGGAGGCCCGGGGGCCCTGGCGGAGGTGAAGGTCAACTGGCGCTGCAACACGAAGCAGTGGTGGGTCGGCGCAGTCCCCGACTCAGTGGCCCCCTCCATCTACCGCAAGCTCGGCTACACCAACGACATGATCAAGCTGATGGGCCTGGACCCCTCCGCCCCTGGGTGCCGGACAGGTGCCGATGGCCCTGACATCCGCCCCAGGGGAGGCGAGGGCGATGAGGGGATCGTTTACCCCCCCATCACGGCGGACAACGTCCACGGCGTAGTGGGTAAGGTCTACCGGAAGAAGAACTATCCGGTGGAGATGAAGCATGTCTTCTGGGCGCACATGGAGTGTGGCCTGGTCCTGAGCTCCGTCACCCCGTGGGAACTCATCCCGAAGACGAAAGGGGAGACCCGGGGGGGCTACATGTGCAAGTATTGCAAGGGGTACTGGCGTGCCGGGGGAGGGGGCACCCGCCTCCTCCAGATCCGGGCCGGCAAGGCCATCTTGCAGCTGGTGTTGGACGAGCCGCCGGAGGGCCTCTACAACCGCTGGGTGAAGGAGCGGCTGGAGTACTACCGCCGGGTGGAGCCCTCGGCCCCGTTGCGGGACGTCTCCATCGTGGACCAGAAGGTGCCTAGATTCAGATTCAGCCAGGCCACCCAGACAGGCCACGTCTCCAATGCCATCTGGGAGCTGATTCTGCGGAATCCGGAGGCTGCTGCGCTCAAGCGCATAGATGACATCGCGAAGAGGGCCGCGTGATGATGCGGGACAACGCCATCTTCCGGCACATCATCCAGAACCGCGGCCATCCGGAACGGATGCGCAGCGCACCCGGGGGGTGGGACAGCTGCCGAAGGCGCTGATATCCCCCCCCAGGGAACAGCGCAGGCCCAGACCTGCACCAGGCGAGGAAAATTGGCGCGGCTTGGGCTAATCCGGGGTGCGCCTGGTTCCCCTCTCTTGTTTGGTTTTCCCTTTTCGGGGCGGCTCCCTGGGTCCCCCTTTTTCCCCCGTTCCCTCCGTTTCGGGGTTGACTTTCCGGGGTTTTGGGGGGCCCCCCCCCTGTTGTTTGGTTGGGGTTGGCACCTAGGGACTAAGCCCCCGGCTCGAGTGGATCATGATGATGTGGAGGCCCCGCCTCCCTTCCCCGTTTGGGACGACCTTCCTAGGGGCGCCAACCGCGCTCCAGTTGATTTTGCATGACCTGGATTTGCACCAGTGCAGTCGGACGGGGAAATCCTCGTGGCGTGCTGCCTGGAATGGGTCAAGAAGGACAAGGTCGCCAACCCGGATGCGGTGGTCTTTGACCCGCGGCCGTGGACACGGATCGTGGGGCTGGCACCTGACGGCAACCACGTCC